TCGTATCGAGGATAATTTTAAAAATTATTTTCTTCTTTATTATGCATAATTGAAAGATAAATTTTTGAAATATGAATCTCATCGTTTTTCTTTTTTTTTTTTTTTTAATGAAATTTATTCTATATTATGCACACACACACACACACACACACACACACACACACACACACACACACACACACGAATAAAAACACTTTTCCTTGCTTGAACAACTGTGGATCGACATACGTTTGTATCATGTGCCGGATATTGCATTCTTTGAGAATCTTCTTCGACACGGAACAAATCCCAGTAGTATAGATTACTTTTTAAACCGACAATCGACTCACATCACAGTGAAACGTACGAACGTTTCTTCTAAATCGAATATTGCAGTAACAAAAAAATTTGAATAAACATATTCATTTCTCTTAAATATTATTCAAAGAAAAATTATATTGTTTCTCAATAATTATAAAATACAAATATCGAATGATTTTAAATATTTTAAATAACATTTAATGAAAGATATTTTTTTTTTTTAATCGAAAATTCTATTTATAAAAAAAATGGTGCAAGTAATAAAATAATTTACAATTTAAGATTGTCACGAGGCAAATTTAATTTTACAGTGATTGAAAATTGAAAATATCAGAAATCTGATATATTTTTCACTATATTATTTGTCATTCGCTAAATCTATAAAGTTGGCAAACACTGAGAGTCCATATTGTTTGAGCAATAAACGATGTAAATGCCAAAATCAACAAGCACATATTTCGCATTTGAATTGAAAATCATCATTTTTGCTATTTGCACCACTTCAACTTCTCAGTTATCAAACACGTACAATAAGCAGATTGCAATGAAAGACGTTTATTCGGAAAAAAAGAAATTTAAGCAAATGGAAGCAACAGCAACAGGCACAAGTTGTTGTCAAGTTTCAAATAAATCAGCACGCGATGCATAACAAATGTTAATCGACCGTACCCGTTTCCTGGATGGAAAAAGTATCTTTGATTCAGGGCGTCGGTTAGGGCTCGTCACGCACACTCCTCTCAAGTACCAAGCTGCTGATAAATCACAATGGAATTTCGAGTTCTCGTTAACTATCATACGTCTAATAATAAATCACTCTGGACAGGTTCATCGCTCCAGAAAATACATTATATCTACTCTATAAATCAATCATACGCAACCTGAAAATTGAAATATCAACTATTCTGTGATTCTAAAAATTTGATCTTAATTGGGAAGTTAAAATATTTTTAACTTATTATAAATATTAATACAAAATTTTTAATTTCATTAATTTTTGAATTCGTAATGTGGAAAAGATCAATCTTTTAAATTTAATAATTTATTTTCTCATGAATCCTTTAATATTCTCATTAAAAACACATTATATTTATATATTTGGTAAATGTAAAATCATAAGCTAAAATTAAGCTTTTTATATATTTTTTACTCTCTTTCCTTTTTTTCTTTCTCTCTCTCTCTCTGAAAGAGTCTTTGATCACGAAACGAATCAAAAAGTTTGTTCTAGAAACTAAAGACTTGCATATACACGCTACCATCGAATCATAAACCAACATTAAAAGCAATCAATCACTGTTTACCCTTAAGAAGAAGAAACGGTACAAATAAGTATGAAAGAAAGTAACAAATGATAAACAATAAACGTGTTCTTTTTTTCACAATCTTATATAATATTATCTATCAAAAATTGTTAAAGGATATCGTTTAGACGCGTTTATATTACAATACATGTTTCTAAAGCTATGACTGTCATACCGAAGGACAACGCATTGCGAGGACATGTACACAAGAAAAACATCGAGGGAAACGATGCAAACCGGCAAACACTCAACTCGGAATCCTCTTATCCAAACAAAGCAGCCGGAGGTGTACGACGACGTATCCACGTTAAGCGGTCGAGTTGGCAATGTGTATAGGTGTTGCGGTAACAGTGCGAACTTTATCCCGAATCATGTCTCTTTTTCATCTCTCTTTTCGTCTATTCGTTACACTCACACCAACGAGGGAGGAATTCAACAACATACAGCTGATTCTGAACACGATCGTCGCCGTTTTCTTCGCGAATACAATGCAACTATACGTATGAGCATTTAACATACACACCTGGTCGGGCCGACCCAAGGTCAGGTCACTAGGCCGCGGACGAACATACAGTGGCTGCTTAACTCCCCAAGATTCTAATAATGATCCTCTCGATGACAGTAAACTTCTGATCTCGCATTCATAAAATCACCTATTTGCACCACTCGGCCCGAAAGAAACAACCCAAGCAGAATAACAAAGACGAGATTGCGAGAGAACGACTCGCCCTTGCACTCGACAAGATCAGCACCGAACACGCGACGTAACGAAAATAGTGTTTACGCGTCTCGACCGCATTCCATAGCTATTAAAAATACAAACAAACACTGTTATCAATGTGACAAGTCGAAATACAAGAACCGTGCGTACACTTGTGTATACATGAGTTGAGAGAGATTCGCGTCTTGCCGAGCGGAATAGTGACGAGAGTTAACCTGACCTCTTCGAGCCTCACCGAAGAACTGGCGGGCTCGTGCGCTCGCACGCACCCGTTACCCCCTCCATCACTACGCGACACCTATCTGCTCCACCGTAAACCCTCGCTACTTCTTCCCCTACTTTAGCTCCCACCACCGACCGTAGCCGACCGTCCACCTACCCCTACTCGTTCTTCCCGACTCATGTACACAATCGCAGAAGCGCGGAAAATTCGAAAGACGAGAGTTAATTATAACGACTCGGACAAGAGGCTTGTCTCTTCAACTGATTCGTTTGTTCCGTGTTCATTGACTACAATTTTCTTATGTTGATACACGCTTCTTTGAATATAAATATAATTCTCAGATATGTATCGATGATTCAATTTTTACTATTTTATATTATAAATCTTTTTATACAATTGATCGTAAAACTATTCAATATGTATGGATATTTGATATAGTTTATGAAAAATTACACATCATATAAAAAAATATAAATTATATAACTCGATATTAATTTTTGATATATATATTTATTATATTTTTATTCTACAAATGATAATTATTTCATTGTCAGAAATAATATAAACTAGCTTCAATTGTTTGTGTAATACATTTATTACGCGTATTTGTACGTAAGAGTGTAGAAAATTGAAAGATGAAGTTTAATTATATTCTCCGACTGTCGACTAACTTGTTTTGATTGTCGTTTTTCTTATTTATCGTCTCCTTGAACTCAGATTACAATGCATTTGATTGCGTTACATTTAAAGATTTATTATTAGAACGCGAAATTTAAGACTATCTCGTGGATATACAATTGTATGACCGATTTCACAATATATTGCTGATTCACGAACGACTGTATTGAATCATTATGCACTAATGTAAAATAGTTGCTTATCATGCTCTTGCATATGCAAACTTAAACCGATCACTTAATGAATAAATTATAACAATATGAATAAAGCAGAATTTTAAAATCATATATATATATATATATATATTATTTGAATCTGATAAGAATGAATTGATGCTTTTGCATATGCAAATTTAAACTGATCACTTAATGAATAAATTATAACAATGTGAATAAAGCAGAATATTATATATATATAATTTTATTTGAATCTGATAAGAATGAATTGTCAATTGAAATGTTAGTCAGAATATAGATAATTCAAAATTTCCGCGATTTATATAACTCGATTATTTATATAAGCTCTGCACCAATAAGATTGTTCAACGATTGTGATTGGTGAGAAGATGTTCCAAGAAAAACTATTTATTATGAAAACGTTATTCTCTCTCTCCAATCAGTATACACAAGGATTAATGAAAAGTAATATCTATCTATTCTATTCAATGAAAGCTTATCCTTCTTTCTTAACCTCTAAAATAGAATTAAAATAAAAATGAAAACGTTAACTTGGATAATTAAGATTTTTCTTGAAATATCGGGGAAAAAGTTTTTAAAGAATTTTTAATTTTACGTAAAAGATGTATGTCTTAAAATGATCCACTGATCTTTTTTGATTGTGCAGTGCAATCATGTGTTTCCGCATTTGTTATGTAGATGCGGTACTGTTCGGTTTAGTATGCATTCCTATAATGCTCGTGTATGTATACGTGCGGACCCAGATTCACTGCAGCATACATGATTATTATCAAATAGAACGTGAAATGCATGTGACTTCGAGGAAAAAGGTGATTCGAACTGTGCATTCAACCAGTAATTGATTTACGATACATTTCAACATATCCATCATCAACAAATCCATGAATTTCTGAATTGAAACATTTGGGCAAAAATATATATATTACATACATGTATAAAATTTAGGTAAATTCAAAACGTGAATTAAAACGATATACCGAAATGAATTCTTTTTTCTTTGAATTAAATCTTTTAGATATTCAATTCTATAAAAAATTACGTATAATATTTCGATTAAGTAAAAATATATTCTGATAAGTTTCATTCAGTATTTTACAATCGTTCATTGAGAATATCGCGTTTGTATCTAAAGGTAATTGACTTCCTGCGCACGCGATCTTTTTCATTAATAGACAATATTTGCAATTATTTATTAATTATTCTTTCATATATATATATATATATATATATGTATTTAATATAAAGAAAAAATTATTTAGCACTTCCAAATCGCTTTTCGTAATTTAATTCTTTTCTTTAAAAGAAAAAAACTCATTTATATTAAATTATCTATGAATCATTATTGCAAAGGAAGAAAGAATTAAAAAAATAAAATTCAAATAAAAATTTAATAAAAGTAGAAGATGAAATAAATTTCTTAAAATTCAAAAATTTTCAAATTTTTAAAAAATATGAGACAATATTTATAGAAATGATGTTTAAATAATATTGTATTAGACATCCAGCCAGAATCAAAACGATTAAAAACGAATAAGAGCAAGATTGCATGGCGCTGCTACTTTCGCTGGTGGCATATTATTTGCATAGATGCGTTTATATGGCAGAGATACACATAGAGGTGAGAGAGTGCGATACGGCATAGAACATATCCGCGACTTCATTCCTCACGACGGCGCGAATCGATAAACGGCGACCATCACGCAACACACAAACCTATCCTCGCCAACAACCCCGACCTCGACGACCGGCTGCACCATTCCCCGGATCGTACGGCATCTCTACACATCTTATCATTAAAGTAGACAGTTTTCGATGCATCGGTACATTCGACAATTACATAACCTATAAATTTTCCTTTCTTCGGTAATTTGCAATCATTTATTAATCTCATTTCTCTTTAATTTATATACAATTAATTTCTTCTTTAAAATCTTTCTAAATAGCTTTACTTGTTTCCTTATTTTAAAATGATGAAATTGATGAATCTGATGAATAATAGAAATCTTTAATTAAACAAAAATTTTTGTACATTTTGATATGAGCTTGAATAATGATACATCTTTCTTTCTCTATTCTATATTCATATTTTATTAATCTGACTTTCATATTCATATGCAATCAGACAAAAAACGTTAAATAATTTCATGTCTTTCTTGAGTGACAGTGTTGGATTTTTACGTTATTTTTTTGTTTTTATAGAATTCTATTCAAATATCTTCTATTCTGATTATAAGATTTTTTTGTAGAAAATATTAAAATCAATTTCAAAAAGATTATAAAAAAAATTATTTCAATTATTTTTGCCTGCAAATCAATTATTTTATTTTTATTAAAATATATTTTTATCAGACGAAAGGATAAATTCAAAAATTTGAGAGGTCAAGTATACGAAACGAGAAAAACGTGACAGATTTACTAAAGAACAATCCATTCGAAGCAAGTATTCGAGTACCTAGAAATGAGGTTATTTTAGATGGTATGTAAAAGCAGTGAATGCGAATCATTACTATTTGCATTCATAATAGTTGCAAGTTACTTAGATATAATCGTTATTTTAGATAATATATAATGTACTTGTATATTAGAAATAGAATAGATAAAATTAATAAAAACAACTGTGTTCTATAAATATTATTAAATTAATACAAAACTATAAAATATACAAATAAATATTAAAAAAAATTTTATATAACTTTTATAAATATTTTCTAAAACTTTCTACATATTTTTAATTTAATTTTATATAATATTGTTATATTATAATGTTCAAAAAAAAATATTTTCGAAAATATTTCATCGATTTTTATAATTTATACAATGAAATTTTTTTTAGAAGCATTTATTAATTTTTTTATAAATCTATATTTTTTTATCAAATCCATAAATTTATTTCCAATAAAATAAATGATAAATTAAATATATATACTATTTATCATATTTCATAATTGAAAATAAGTCTTGTCATGATCAAAAGCATATGCTTCTGCAAAATAACACAGAACGCCATTCTGTAGTAACTAAAAATCGTCAAAAGTTTGGCGCGAAAACAAAGTGCGCATGTAAGAAAAGTGGCGGACTAGGTGGAGCTGGCAGCGCAGTGAAAACAGAAACCCAAACCGGTCATGGAGGCTAGTTAACGACTGTGCGCCGCGCTTGTGAATAGTAATTTCACCAAGATATTGTGTTATTTACGCGGACGCTAGAGAATCGACTGAAAGATTGCCGGTTTAAACGAAAATGGGTGCATATTTGTCAGAACCGATTACAAAGAAAGTGTCGAGCGATGAAGTGGGCAAGAATGTCGCATTCGGCGCGAGTTCCATGCAAGGCTGGCGAATTAGTCAAGAGGTAAGCTAAAACTCTCGAGCGGCCAGTGCACCGTTACCCAGTTTCGTTTCGATAAGAGAACTGTTTGCCGGTTCTCTGTTTCGCTAAGGTATTACGACATTCATTCTAATTTATCGTAACGTAATCCATCTATGTGTCGAAGCGCGAAATTCAGTCTATTCGATTCGAGAACGACAAATATCGTGCTTATAGAAACAACAGTGCACCGACGTTTCGCTTATGAACAAAACAGTACTATTACAAAATTAAAAATATTCATTGTCATAGTTCGAAGTTACTTCTAAAATGAAAGTTTTTCAGTTTATAAAGACTTCTATTCTCTATATAATTTAATAACTTATTATTGTTACTAATGTAAAAACCTAAAACCTTATATTTCTATTATTCTTTTATCTAATATTTCATAACTATTGAACTTATACTTTAAAAAATATTCTAATAATATCTACATATTTTAAAATAATTTACTAATAGTTATTTTCTAAATAACAACATTAAATAACAATTTGATAAATTTAAAATTTTGTCAAAGATTTCTTTTGTAAAATAATGTGATTTGTTTATATATAATTTTTTAATATATTCTGGCTATTGAAAATATCTATTCATTGATAACTGAAATATTTATATATATATATGTGATAATAATATAAAACAAATAATTTTATTTATGCAACGTACATAATAATTTTCATATTTATATATTCATTTTAATTGATTAAAATATTAAATATGTCATGAAATATTTGAAATTAATCTTTTAAAGAATTATTAAGTATATTTAACAATTTTTTTTTAATGTTTTTAATTATATAAAATTAAAATTAATTGGAATATATTTATATAAATATTATATATAAAATAATATTATATATAAATATTATATATAATTGGAATATATTATATAAAATATAATATAAAATATAATTATTTGTTTATAGGATGCACATAATTGTTGCATAGATTTTGATGAAAATATTTCATTATTTGCTGTATATGATGGCCATGGTGGTCATGAAGTAGCAACGTATTGTGCAAATAATTTACCAGATTTTATTAAACAAACTGATGCATATAAAAAGGGAGATATAAGACAAGCTTTAATTGATGCCTTTCTAGGCTTTGATGCTACACTTGAAAAATCTGAAGTAGTTAGTATTCTCAAAGAACTCGCAGGAACATCTACTTCAGATAAGAAAAAAGAAGAATTAAATGAATCTGGTGCGTTTCTTTTCATATTAAAATATATTCTTATACAAATTATATTAATCTAAATTAAACTATTAATTATTATATTTCATAATTATTAGTTTGTTCCATCTATTTCTTTGTACAAAAATATATTTAATAAAGTTGTCTTCATACGTTACATTGCACATAGATGAAGAAGAAAATGTTAATAATCTATGTATGGAGGCAACAATGCCATTGGAAGAAGTAATAGCAAAGTATCAATCAGAATCAAATCCTAATGTAAAAAATGAAAAATGTAATAAACGAGTATGTTCTGCAAGTCCTTATCTACGTGGTCGAAGAGGTAAAGAAAAAGCAAGTTCTTCATCATCTGGTGCAGGATGTTCATCATCTTCATCTTCGTGGAATACAAATGAAACTGATGTGAGTAGTTCCAGTCAACCATGTGGATCAACTTTATCTAGTACAATGGAAAGAAAAGAATCAGAGTGTCCTGGAAACAATGAAGCTGAACAAGTTCTTGATTCAACTACCAGTAATGGAAATGCACATGCATCTACACCTGTAGAATCTACAGCAGATGTAGAAACAACAAAAAGTGCAGATATGCCAGATAGTTCTGAAGATGTAAACAAGGAAGTAACAAGTCCTGGTAAAATTACATCTATAGAATCAAATGCAAATGAAGTAGAAATAAATGGTGCAGAATCAAAGCAAATTGGAGATGCAGATAGTAGTAAGGGTGGAGGAGATAATGTTTCAAGTAGTTCATGTATCCCTATAGAAAATGGAGATGCAGGACAACAAGAACGGATAACTAGTACTGGTAGAAGAAGAATTCAACCTGTTACATTATATCATACTCTCTTAAAAAAAGACAGTGAAGTTTCTGAAGATGATGATGATGATGAAAATGATGAAACATTTGATGGAATTCCAGAAAGGTAGAAATAATTTTATTTAAAATAATTAAAAAATAAAAATATTCTTATTTTTATATTTTAATCATCCAAATTTTAATTATTCATATAATCTTTTTATTACACATTACTTCCTATTATAAAGTTTTAGTGACGAAGATGACATAGAAGATATTGATGAAGATGAAAGTGATGAAGATGAAGATGAAGAAGATGAAGATGGAGATGGTAATATTGATGATGATGATGATGATGATGATAGTGAAAGTCTTATGATGGATACAGAAGAGGTATTAAAATTTTTTCCAAAATATATTTTATTTAAGCTTAAAATATTATGTTATGGTAATTATGAATATTTAAAATAAATATAAATAATTCATTTATACAGCCAGGTTATGATAGTGGATGCACTGCAGTAGTTGCAATTTTAAAGGACAATGAATTATATGTGGCAAATGCTGGAGACTCCCGTTGTGTTTTATGTAGAGATGGTCAAGCTATTGAACTTAGTTTAGATCATAAACCTGAAGATGAACCAGAAATGGAACGTATAGTAAAAGCTGGTGGAAAAGTTACAGCTGATGGTAGAGTAAATGGTGGCCTTAATTTATCAAGAGCACTTGGGGACCATGCTTACAAACAAAATGCAGACTTGCCACCACAAGAGCAAATGATTTCTGCTCTTCCTGATGTAAGGCATATTACAATTGAACCAGAAAGAGATGAGTTTATGGTGCTTGCTTGTGATGGTATTTGGAATTTCATGTCAAGTCAAGATGTTGTACAATTTATTCGTGCTCGTTTAACTCAAAATTATGAAAAATTATCAAAAATCTGTGAAGAGGTATAAAATATATATTTTATTTACAATTACTTTTTTCCTTATTTTGATTTAAAATAAATATTACTTATTAACAAAATTATTACATTATAGCTATTTGACCATTGTCTTGCACCTGATACCTGTGGAGATGGTACAGGATGCGACAATATGACAGCTGTAATAGTACAATTTAATTCATCGACTAATGCTGTAATGAATAGCACTATTACTGACGTATGTACTGTTAAAAGATCATTATCGCCATCTATATCGACAGAAGAAAATAATGATTGTATTATGCAGGATGACACAATGAAATCTTGTAAACGACTTAAAACTGAAGCAACTATATGAGAAATGTGTTAAATATTATAAACTGTTATAATCTTTGGAGACAGATGAGTGAATGTGAATTTATGTAAAATTATGTAATTCTATAAAAAAAAAAAAAAAAAAAAAAAAAAAAACTGTGAATTTTGAGCGGATACTCAATGGTGATCGATACCAGTTACTTTAAATATCATGTAAAGTATGTTATAGCTGGCTATTGGAGGCAGACTGATAAATTGGAGCATATGAGGATGATACTTTGCTACTAATATTTCAATATTAGAAACTTTATTTGATATAAAAACTATGGTTTATTTTTTTTTTCAAAATCAATTATTTTCAAAACTACACTATTATTATTTGATAGTGTACTATCGATATATATATCAATAGTGTACTATATAGTCTAACATTTTAATAATGTTATGTACAAAAAGATATAAACAGTCATATGAACGATTCTGTATTATATATTAATGAAATAATAGATATTTCACTTCATAAATACTTTCTACAATAACGATAAGATAGATGATAAGTATAAATAAAATCAATCTGAAATTATTTATTAAATCGAAGTCTTGTAAGATTTTATATAAATAACATAAGATATCATAACGATTAGATTAAAAATAAATTTTTGAAGTTCTTTTCAAATTTTTCAAATGACTTTTCACATTTTGACTTTAAATATTTTCGTTATTTTATCTTTTTATCAAACAAAATTTAATTATGTTTGTTGTATTTAATCATCCTATTTGCTCCATTAATGTCTATAAAATATACTCTTTGAGTTTTTAGATAACATCCATAGTAGATATGTAATTGTACATATTTATAAATTTAGATTATAGGATTTATATTTGTAATTCAACACGATACCATTTCTTATTTTTACGAAATAAACTTTATTTTTGAATCCCTGGGTATAGTGGTTGAATGGATGGGTGTGCGAGTAGTCTTAAAATGTGTAAACTGTATTGTGTAATGAAGACAGTTGCGTATTACGCATTGCTAATTTGTGATCTTGTACTAAAAATATTGTTAAAAGAGTATGTACTATGTTACAGAATACTATCTACTTAAAATATTTAACATTTTTTTTAAATATCTTACAGCATGAGATATTCTGTAAATTTATGACAACATAAAAATAATATTTTAAAAAAGAACAATAAAATAGATTAAATTTAAATATATTTAAACATACAAACATTTTGAAAATTAATAAGATATGTATTAAAATTAAAAAAAATTAATTTATCGTAAGAAATATGTAAAAAGTAAAGGTGAAAAAAAATATTTAAATTATTTATATGTTTTTAAGAAATACATGCTTTATTTTAATCAAATTATTGTACCTATATTATATGCTTATATCGTTTTTCATTTTATATAATTAATGAAATTCTTTTTCTATATAATTAGAATATATAAGTAAGAAAAATTTTTAATAATTAAGCTCTAGCAACTTGATAAATTTTTTTTATTTTCAAGTCATTTTCATTATATCACTATTTCACCAATATAATAAGGACAACGACTGTCTATTCGTAAAACATATAAAGTTTATATTCGATAAAATAATATAGATGTTAGATAAATAATTAATATAATTAATTGATCACCTGCGATATCTTAAGATTGCTTCAAGTTTTATATTGTTATTTATCTTCTGCAACCGTATGCTCACGTGTAATTGCGGCTGTTAGTAGATAGTAATTATATAACAATATTGTTTATAATTATAAAAGAAAAGCAATCGCGCAATTTTTATGAAAAAGAAAAAATAATACTATTATCAAAATGATTATTAGTATATTAATATTAGAAACATACATAGAATGATTCAGAATTAACTAATGTGCCTTTCTGATTCAGGGGTTCAGAACCTTTACGATATGTGTGTACATTTGATGCCGTCTTATTAAGAAAGGTTTAAACTCCGACACCGTCTTAATTACAAACTTCGTCATAAACTTATGTATAAATATTTTGTTTCATAATATATGTCACTCTAATCATATTTAATAGTTTTATTTATTTTCCTTATTTTATGATCAATTTATTTTCTAAAGAAAAATACAAACATTCAAAATATATTTAATAAAAATAGATATATTAATTTCAGCTTTTCAAATTTTTAATTCACTGTTAATTGTTCAATAGTTTCTAATTGTTCCATTTCGATTTTTTTTAGAGAATCATATTGTATACGAAGTCTCTCAAGTTCCATAGATTTTTCAACTATCTGTGCCTGCAATTAATATATATAAATATTTAAATTATTTTAAATTAATTTATTGAATATATCTATCAACAATATGCATTTTTATATAATCTTATAAGAAATTAAAATAATTGATTTTTTGATTCATCAATCATTTATCAAAAATAACTAATATTCAGTAAAATATTTTAATTTTGAAACAACCTGAATTTGTTGTTTTTGAGCATCCCTTTCTTTTTCAATAGATCGAAGCAAGTTTCGGGTTCCAATAGTTTTCATTTTTTCTTTTTCCACCTCATTTGCTATTTGATCTATTATTTCTATAAATTCATCGGAATTGGTTTGAAATTCAGTAATTTCTAGGAAATAAAAGATACAATAAATATCGAATGAAATATAAAACGAATCTAAATCATTTGAAATTCATTTTCATATAAATAAATATATAAATATAAATAAATAAATATTTAAAAAAGATACAAATCATTTTGTATTGCAATTAATAAATAAAAATATATACATAAAAATCAATTCAAATGAATAAAAATAATAAATATGTACTAAATTTAATTATAAATTAAACTATTTTTATTACTATTAATAATATAAATTATTAGAAATAATTTAATAAGATGATTTTTAACAATAAGTTATTTTAAAAAAATATATTCGTATAATGGGAAAATAAATAAATATATTTTAATTCAATATTTTAATAATATATATTTTTTTATTTATTATGATTTGAAGTACCGATCAAGGCGGCAATATAGATGGCAGCAATTACTATAAAGAAGGATGTAAGTGTAGATACAAGCATTTGTTTTGTATTGAAAATATACTTAGCAATTACAAAAAATAAAAAATAACGAGGTAAGTCAATTGACAAAAATATTCATAAAAATATTTTCTTATTCAAATTGTATATGTCAAAAATGTTAACAAATATATATTAGCTTGTGTAATTATAATAATTTGTAACTAAAACTTACTCGAAATGAAATTTTTACATTCTTCTTTAAGCTTATTTGTCTGATTTGCAACTTCTGGTTCTAATACACGAATCTTACTTAAATCATCGATATAAATTCCATACTTTGCTAAAGGGTCAGCCATTTTCTTAAATAAACAAACGATTAACTGGTAGTTGCGCTTGCGCGTATCTAGAACTAGTCTTCGTTTCTTTGTACTAGTCACTCGCCAAAATGGGAATACGATAGGCTATATTTTTTTTTGCCGAGTCGTAAGACACAAAAAAGTAGTGGAAAAATCGTGTTATTTAATAAGATTTTAATATTTAAAATGAGATTAATAAATATCACATAAAATATCTTTCTATTGGTTATCGTTTATCGTTGTGTTGGCGCTCAAGACACAACGCTTTGTTCTTTCTCTATTAAATTTTATATTTAACATTTAAAAATCGTTATATTTTCTCATCTGATTATTTATTAACATTGATATTTGACGATCTAATATATTGTCATTGTTCGTAATGTCTGGAAATCACAAAGCGGGAATTAAATATCCTTCAGAATATGTCAAGCTCAATATCGGCGGTTCCTTACACTACACTACTTTAGGGACACTCCAAAAACATGATACTATGTTACGAGCTATGTTTAGTGGTCGCATGGAAATTCTTACAGATCCCGAAGGTGTGATATTTTATTTGATTTTATTATGTTTAATAAAATATATAACATTATAAGAATATATGAAATTTGAAAAAAACTTATTTATTTTTTTATTTATGTATGTTTATATCGAATCGAAAGAAATATAATTATTTTTTTATTTATTTAAGATAAATACGTAAATATATTTTATAGGGTGGATATTAATAGATAGGTGTGGAAAACATTTTGGAACAATCTTAAATTTTCTAAGAGACGGATCAGTTCCATTACCAGAAAGTACGAGAGAAATGGCAGAATTGCTTGCAGAAGCAAAATATTATTGCATTACCGAGCTAGCTGAATCTTGTGAACAAGCACTTCTTCGAAAAGAGAGAGAAGCAGAACCTATTTGTAGAATTCCACTTATTACTTCTCAGAAAGAAGAACAATTATTAATTAGTAGTACTACTAAACCAGTAGTGAAGTTGCTTGTTAATAGACATAATAACAAGTATTCATATACAAGGTGATAATATTTGTTTCATAAAACTGCAATGAAACAAAGAATGAATAAATATAATAAGCCTTGTCTTTTATAGTACATCAGATGACAATCTCTTGAAAAACATAGAATTGTTCGACAAAATGTCCCTTAGATTTGGTCGTAGAGTATTATTTATTAAAGATGTGATTGGCTCCAGTGAAATTTGTTGTTGGACATTTTATGGTCATGGTCGCAAAGTTGCAGAAGTTTGTTGCCACTCCATTGTTTATACAACTGATAAAAAACACACAAAGGTAATATCAAACATATATAAAATATATTTGATTGTATATTTATCTATTATTATTATAAATATATATAATATGTAATATAATTCATTTATAATACAAATAAGAGAAATAAGAACTTAATTTATGATACATAGGTTGAGTTTCCAGAAGCCAGAATTTATGAAGAAACATTAAATATTTTGTTATATGAACATCGAAATGGTCCAGATCAAGAATTAATGCAAGCAACATCATCACGTGGTGCAGTCAGTGGTGCACCACCTTGTACATCAGATGAAGAAGAGGGTGAGCGTTCAGGCTTGGCTCGCCTTCGCTCCAACAAACAAAATACCAACTGACCCAATCTTACCTCTCTTACCCCTCCTAATCCAGCGACTCTTAGCGTCGTTCGAGTCCTCGCCCTTAAGACACGAGCCAATACAAAGTAAGATGTGTGAAAAAAAAATGTACACAAAATTTTATATACATGCATATTTATAGATAAAGATATCTATACATATACATACATATATATATATGTATGTATATGTATATCTATGTATTCTCTTGAGCGAAAAATGAACAGTATGATTAAAAGTGATTATTAATTATATTATGCATTGCATTTCATTGCATTGCATTGTCTTACTCACTTCTTTGATCTATATCTAAACATCCTAATTATTTCACATATTTGAAATCATTTTTAGAACCGAATGACACAATTCGTTTTGGATTTATATTATAAGATATCGATATGTAAAATATAAGAATACGTTTTCGTATTTTTTATTTTCACATCGTAAATTTGAAAATAAGTATTTTAAGAGAACACATATACGAGTACTACTTATGTGCCAAATGTTCGTGTCAGATGTAAAACAAGAATAAGTCGAAGTTGCCATTTTGTGACTGATGGAATTATTTACTCTTATACTCTATAACAACTTTTAAGCAGTTATTAAGATTAAGAAAATACATAAGAAACTTACAAAATATAAAATTATGTTATTACAAATATTATTATTTTTATATAATTATATTATTATTATTATTTGATTAAGATGCTTAACATATTATTATTATTATTACTATTATTATTATTATTATTATTATTATTATTATTATTATTATTATTATTATTATTATTATACTATTATATTATTATTATAATATATATATATAATTATATATATATAATTATAAAACCAACATGTTTATATTCTTTTTTACGAAAAAAAATTATGTTTAAATAAATTAATATAAAAAAATTGTATTTACTTGAGCATTTTTCAATTTAAGAATTATCTTAAATTGCTTAAAAGATGATGTGGAGTAAACACTGCCAGTAAAATAATTACAGTGGAGTATATAAGCCAGTCTTATAATTAATATAATTTAAAAATTAATCTATAATATATGATTGGTTTTTTGGTTTAAAATTAAAATTAAAAATGTTTAGTTTTTTTGTATAAACAAGACAATGACTTTTACAAGCATATAAGCTTTGTGTTAATTTCTATATATCATTCCAAAATATGGTATATTTTTCTCATGTTGATGTTTTTTATTTTGTTTACACACTTCCATTTAAAAAAAAAATAAATGTATTATAATTCAATGAATACTACAAACTAATTTAATATATTCTTTTTAATATGGTGCAAACTCATATTTAATGAAGGGACCATATGTATTCCAATTTTAAATCTATAGTTATTTTACTGTAATACAATATATAAAATTCAATATTCAAAAATTCAGTCCTACTTTAAATTATTTATTAAGTTCTCTCTCTTTTTTTTAAGTTAAAAACTTATATTATTCTCCCGAATACAAGACGATATTTATAATATATATATCGCAATATAAATATAAAAAAAGAGTTCATGTTCCTATAAATTTATATAATAAAAATTTAAAATTGTAAATAATGAATATGGTTCATATTTCGTATTTATTATAAATCGTTATAATTAAATAATATTATAAAATTATGTAATATGTAAGTTATATAAGCTAAATGCAATATATATTATGTTAATCAAACATTTGCTTAAATTTTTCAACCTCACAGTAGAGCACAGTTTTAGTGGCCTCCTTTGTCAGGTAAAACCGACACGAAATATAAAATTTATTCAAATTACATATTTCCATATTTAAAAAATAATAGAATTAGTTGTTGTCAAAAAATAAATTAAAAATTGTACTGATTATTTATCTTTTCTTTCAGGAAACTAGTACGTCCCATCATACATGGGGTAACCATGGTCTACTTATTAAATCAACGAAATTTTTTATCTGGCCACATTGTATAACTAACTAATATTTCTGTTTTACAATTATTTAAAAATATATAACAAAATTTTGTCTTGTATCCGGGTGAATTGATTATCTCTTAAAATATTTAAAATGATAAATGATTTTATTCACTAATTAAAAATTTATAAATATATTTAAATATTGCTCAAATAACAAATATCTTTTTATCTACATTTTTAAAATTTCATATATATTTATTTATCTTTTTTGTAAAAATGAATACCACAAATGAGTTTGCAGACTTGCCAAAATTTATTAAGAATGAAATATTAAATTGTAGTATCATATATATGTATACAAAATGAATGTCAAATTTTATCTATTAGATATAAATGGCCCTGATATATGTAAATATTATTATTCTATCATGATAAAATAATCATAGTGTTATATTTTATATTTTATGAAAAATATATTAAATTAAAATTATAATATAGGATTAAATTTAGATAACATTAATAAGAATAATAATATTCATGTTTCAAAGAATTATTTATGCATAGTTCTAATATATTATTTATATATTCTATATGCATATTTACTAGAAAAAGACTGATTTGTAAAAATTTTTCTCCAATTTTTGTTTAAAAGAACATATTTACAAAATGTAAAAATATTATGTGTAGTAATTCTTGTTAAACATGATAAAGAAAATAAATAAATAAAAAATAATCAATAGAATTTATTTGCATTTAAATAATAAATAAATATATTATAAATAATTTAAAAATACTTCATAAAGTTACTGGATAATAAAATCTTATTCAAAGAATGAGAGAAAAAAAATAATGATGGAATTCAGAAATACAGATAGGAAAAATAAAAGATATTGTATTTGCATTGTATTTTCAAAATACTATTTGATGAAATGATGATACCATAAACAAAGTATAGAATAATATATTTAATGCATTTTTTTATCTGATCTTAACTATTTTAATATTATTTTAAATTTTACCGATTTGAATATTAGAATAAAATTGCAATGTTAGTGATATATATGGTTGAAATTAGAAAAAATTTCAACCATAAATTTCAACATAAAAAAAAAAAGAATTAGAATAAATATTCTATTATATATATATATTTTATATAATATTGTTTATGAAATATTATATATAATATTGTTTATGAGAGTATTTAATTTTTTAGGTACATTGCAAAACCGAGAATGTAAATTTTTACATTAAAGGTTAAGATACATTATATTTTTAAAAAAAGAATGATGATAATGCATTCAATTGATACTTCATTTATGATCATTCGGTATATGCCAAAAGCAAAGAAATATATAGAGCAATATAATTATATATGGAAAGCAAAAAGCGAGAAAAGAATAAATATAAAATAAAAATATTGAAATCATAAAATAGAATAAAAATTAATTATAAGCGCCAACTCTTGAGTATCAATATTTTTTTAGAGACAGGATAAAATAGAATAAGAATTAAGAATCAATGCCATCTTTTGAATTTATCTTTAGAAAGATGATTCTTTAAAAAACTGTCTTTGATGGCACTGACGATTTTTTTATTCTATTCCTATTCTTTTTTCACAATTTTCTATTCTTTCTTTATATGTTTTATTTGCAAATTTAAAATAAAATTTCTTTATATATTTCAATGACTCTGAAGATGGCGCTGATTCCATAATTTTTATTATTTGTCTTACTATTTACTTTCTTATCCATATTTCGTGTTTCGTGTTTATGCTAATCTAAAGATGGCGGTAATTCCTCAATTTTTCTTTTGTTCTCTCATTCTATATTTATAAATCATATATATATGAATCATATCAGAAAATTAGAGGCACTGGCAAACGAATACTAATAGAATTTTAATAAAATGGGTAAGGCAAAAGACATAAGTTCAGACGAAGATATAACTGTAGGTACGATTTTCTATTTGTTGAAAAATTAATTATTATTTATATATATATTATAAATAATTAATTATTTGATTTATGCATAAAAATGATAAAAGTAAATATTTTAATTTTTTCTTTTTATCAATTTCATCATTGAGATTAATATTTCTAGATAACTTAGAGAAACGACATCTTTTTATAAAAATATATTTTGTAAAAAATTAAACAGTTTTTATATGTATTTATGTCTATAATTATTTTTTATTAATTTTTATATTTATTTATTTGTTTTTTAGAAACTAATGAAGTATCTCCACAAAAACGACATAAGAAACATAAACATAAAAAGCATAAAAAGAAAAAAATTACTCATGATGATAATGATGGTTTTAATGATGTTGCTGTTGAAACGGATAAAAAAAAAACATTTAGAGTTAAGATAAAAAAAGATGATGATAAAGGGTAAATAAAAATAATATAATAAATTGTTTTATTGTATATAATCGTTATATAAAATATAAATATTTATATTAATATGTTTAGTCTAGAAAAACCACGTGAAAAAATGCAGAAAACATCCAATCTTAACACTGTAAGTGCAAGTCCATCTCCAAAAACTGCTACAAAAAAGAAAGTTCTAAAAAATAATAAAGGTAAAGATAGTGGTACTAGTAGTGAAGAAGAACGATGGCTTGATGCAATTGAATCTGGAAAACTTGAAGAAGTAAATAATTCATATTTATAATGTTCAATTTTTTTTTGTAATATTTGTATATTAACTTAATATAATAATATTTTTGTGTAAATCTTATTTGTGTTATTTATAAAATAAATAAATATATTTTATTTTAGGTTGATGATGAACTAAAAAAAATTAAACCAAAGGATCCAAAACTAATGACAGCACGTCAAAGAGCCATGTTTGAAAGAAAAACTGATACAGAACCAAACCCAGCCGTTGAACAACTCATGTCATTACCAACTGGTTACAAAGAAAAAGTTATGACAGCTGAAGCCATACAAAAAGCTGCTCTTAAGTCATTGAAAAGAAAACAGCTTGCTGATGAGAAGAGAGAAAAAGATAAGGTAATATAATCATTAAAATTAGAATTTTTAACTTTTATTTTTATTTTATAAAATAAAAATGATATGTACAATATTTTAAAATTACATTGTTACTTCTATAGAAAAAAACAATGGAAAGATTACTAAAAAAACAAGAATCTAAAGCTTCTAAAGTCATTAGTAAAGGAAAACCTTCTAGAAGACAAGTTCCTTTGGTTACATATCGTTTAACACTTGAAGGAAGTTCAATATCTTTACCACCTGGAGAAGATTTTCCATTACAACCTACAAAAGAGTAAATAAAAATAACTAATAATTTAAAAGATTTAATTAAAATATTATAAAATCATTATGTCATTTTTTTATATTTTTCTTTTTCAGAAAAGAACCATCAATACAAATTCTTTGTGGTGTTAATCAATGTAAAAATTTAAAAAAATATTCATGTTCAAAAACTGGAATACCTTTATGCAGTTTAGAATGCTATAAAGCTAATTTATCTATATCTGTATAATATGTATATAATTATTTAAATACTTTATTAATTATTTAAATACTTCTTTTCTATTTTCTTAAATTTATCTAATCTTTATACGAAATATTTATTTTTTTATCATAAAAAAACAAATTATTTTTACAATTTCAATAAAATCTTTGTTAATATAATATGAACATTAATACAATAGAATTTATACTTTTATATAAATACTTATTATTGAGTTTCTTAAATATGAAAACAAAAGTATTATAAAATATAAAATATTTTTTTTTTACTTAAAAAAAAATATTTCACATTGAATTTTTAACATTATAATTAATTTGTAAATAATTCTGTATATATTATTATGTAAATATTTTATTGTAATATTTGTACATATATTTGAATATGTATTTGTCATATTCTAACTTGTAATTTAAATAAATGTATTTTGTAAATAAAAAAACAAAAAGATATATGTAACAACTATTTATTTGAATATATGAAAATAAATATATTCATTATATATATATATTTATAATATTTTAATAGGAATAAAAAATTTGAATTTACATTGAATCTAACTTGTATAACTAGAAATAGCTTAGGCCTTGCTTTCACCATTCAAGATAGGTTCAACTAAGTCGCCGTATGATCGTGAAACGTGTAACATCGTCAGTGTTTATTTTAATCATCGATGGTTAGTGATTCGCGATGATTTATATAGTTCGATTATTTTATAATTGTCGATTTTTATAATTTAATAAATTTTAGTAAAATCCAGTTGATCTGGGTTAAAATGTGTTGGTTCAAGAATTTTATAGTTTTTATTATTTTTATTTTATTAGGAATATCAAAATCTCAAATAAAGGGTGAGAAAATAAACTTATCTTCTTTAAGCTATAAAATATTTTTTATTGATACAAAATTATAAAAGTGTAATACAATTAATACTATTATGAAAATTTATTTATTATTTATTTATTACTAATAATTATTTATTACTAATAAAATTTATTTATTATTTATTTATTACTTTAGAAAAATATAAACTTATTTTCTTAAATATTTTTAACAAAATTAGTGTTTTATTTAATATAAAAAAAAATAAATTATTAATTAAATATTATAACATAAACTTTATGACTTATAAAATTCAAGTATTTTATTATTAATTTTATTACATAGCCAAATTATTACATAAAGATTTCTTTTTGAAATAAAATTTATGAATCATAAATTAATTTCATTACTTTTTTTTTTTTAATTAGATGGTAATTATCATGAATGTCTACGATCGTGTCTTGATAATGCACTTTCAAAAAAATTATGCCGTTATGAATTCTACGTTGGAGAATTGCCTAATACGATAAGGTAGGATAAAAATCTATAAATTCATCAATGCATTTAATGAATAAAAAGAATGCACTTTCAAAACTGTAATAAAATTAAAATAAAAACAACTAACATACTTTCGAAATATAAATTTTATATATGAAATCATATTAAACTAAAAGATAATATTATACATAAAAATTATATATTTTATATGAAAATAAATCAATGATTATGTTTGAATAAATTTAAAATAGAAAATATTTTTCTTATTATTTTCGTCAATTCCAATGTGAACGAATATACAATTTCCAGTATAATCTACGAACTAACGGTTAATACGCTTGGTTACAGAATGTACTTTGATTTTTTTAATTTCCAACTGGTTCTTACATTACTAGTAGCTATTACGGACCTGTTTACACTACAGGCAGTAAAACTAAATAATGACATTCATAAATTTTGTGTAAAGACTTTAGCGTAAAACTATTATTGAAATTTTATTAAATTTTTTCTAAAGAAAAATAGGGCAAAATCTTAGAGAGGAAGATAGGATACTTAATTGAAGATTTATTTATTAATTAAATAAGATTTTGATAGAAATTTATATAATTGCGATTTTTAATAGAATTTTATTATAAATATCAGGTACAATTTCAACTTTATTTATAATTTCCTGAAATTTATGTTAAGAGTAATATATCGTTAATTGGTTCATTTTTTAAAAATTGATTATTGTTTAAATTCATAGTCATAGTTTTTAAAATTTAAGTCAACTACAAATATAAGCGTACAATTAAAAATGTTTTTAAGATATATATTGATCAAATTTAATTCTTATTATTATTTACAGCATTCATAATGGTTCTGAAAGTAAAAATGAATCAATGATTGACAATAAAATAATATTATCGAAAATGTTCTTAGGAATTAATGGAAGAAGTCCAGGACCTCAAATAGAGGTAAAAATTTTAAAATTAATTTCTACGTTACAATTATATCACACTACATTAAATTACAAATTTAATTTTTAGGTATGTGTCGGAGACACAATAGAAATTCTTTTATATAATAGATTAGGATCTGAAGAATTATCTTTCCATTGGCATGGATTACGACAAAAAAATTTTGCTCATATGGATGGTGTTCCAATGGTTACACAATGTTCCATATTACCATTTGGAGGTTTTCGATATAAATTAAAACCGGAAAATGTTGGTACATACATTTATTATGCCCATATAGGTAAATATATTATAAATAAATATATTTAAATAAATTTAAAATAAAAAAATTATTAAATACAAGAATAATTAATTAAAACAAAAATATATTTAAATCATTTCAATTTTCCCGCGCTGTAGAATAACTTCTACCTCTGTGAGGCAAGCAAAATTAAAGTAGATCAATATCTTGAAACCGTGTAGAAGTTAGGTTACATTTTACGTCTGGTGTTTCAAGAAAAGTGATGTATATCAAGTGTCAGAAATATTATTTTTTTTAATACATTTTCTTAAATTTACTTTACATTGTATAATCAAGTGAAATATGATAATAATTTTGTATTTTTAAAACAATAGTAGAATCAAATTTAATAAGACTACCTATCCAGAATGATCAGGTATATTAAGGGATTTATATAATTTTGAATTCTATGAAAGATTAAAAAAATTAAATTTTTTATTAGAAATTTTTTAATTTTTTTCTTTTTTTTATTAAAATTAATTGAAAAATAAATTCATTTGCATATCTTTTTATAGCATTTATATATAATTTTTTTTATAGTTTTTTTAATAAAATATAATTAAATTTATATATAAATAATTTATTGTATATGTTATCATATAAAATAGATAGAATTAAATTCAAAAAGTAAAAAAATATAATGAATTTAAACATATTTGTATATAAATTTAGATGAGATGACAGGTTACATTTAATATAGGCGAAAAATGAACTCGTCCAAATTTTGTTCTTGTTAACGCCTTATATTATCGTCTTATAAAAAAAAAGATAATTAATAATAATTAAAAATTTCAATATGCACAAAAAATAAATAAAAAATTCAAAATTTTTATGAAATAATATTTGTAATCTTAAAAGTAGACTTTTTTGAATAAATGTAAACTACCGTAAATGTTTGTTATAAAACATCATTTCGATCAATATTGTAATGAAATAAAACAAGATTAAAGCAGAAAATTAATAAAATTAAAAAAATAAGTCTAGTTTTAAGATTAAACAAACAGTGAAGTTTTGACTTTGAAATTGATTATTCATTATATAATCTAAAATTGAACTTTTTATTATTGCAGATGCATTAAATTGAAATAATGTATTAACATTAAAATTTTTCAACCTATTTGATTTTTTATATGTATAATATTCTTCACAATATAAAATATTAAATCTAAATATTATTTTAAAAAAATTTTTGATTAATAAATATTCACTTTCTGTGAATTATTATATTCTGTAAAATTATTTATCTTGTTAAATTTACATTTAAAAAAAACGTAACCATATTAGATTTGTTCATAATGACAAAATGAAATAATAGTATGGTAATGGAATGTAAATTCTTTTATTAATCACAAAAATAACGAAAGCATTAATGATGTTGGATTATTAGTTTCACAGCAGGGCGACGGTATATACGGGTCGTTGACAGTTCGAGGACCACAAGATGACCCTAGCTTGGAAAGGATACTTCTCTTGTCATCAAGGCCGCCAACTCCACTGTCGCGATACTCGCATCTACATCCACCTACGCCCAGTGAACTTCTCTTAAATGGCCAGGTATTGTTTTATTTAATTAGACAAGATGTCATATAACGAGCAAAGAAAAATATAATTTTGAATAAAAAATATTTATTCAAAATTTTTATTTGAAAAAATGAACTTATTTTTAGGATAAAAAATATAGAAATAAGAATAATTTTTATTCTTTCTTTCTTTTTTTATATTCATAGGTATTCGTTAAACGAAAAATTATCAAAAGATACCAAACAATAATACAAATAAATTTTATAATAATATAAATATTTCTTCAAATATTTTTTTTTACCATCAAATTTTATGTAATTAATTAAATATAATTTAATAATAACTTATAATAGCTTAAAAAAGATAATTTTTCAATACTAATCATTGAACATGACATTCTTTAAAAAATATTTCAATTTCAAAAGAAACTAAAGTTGATCATTTTAGTTCTATTCGTTAATCCATATCAAGGTTGTATAATATCTATTACGTTATTGAAATGAGAACTTTCTCTGATTACATGTTACATTTTTTTAAAATCATATTTAATAATTAATTACTTAATACTTAACTAGTATTTTTTTTTTTTTTTAGAATAACGGATTTATCTTTGAAGTCCACTATGGAAGAAAATATTTATTCCGACTTATTAACGCGCATGCATACAATTGTCCTGTACTATTATCCATTTCTGACCACGATTTTCACGTGTTGGCTATTGATGGCAACCCGGTTAAATCAACGATTGGTAGACACATCGTTTCCTTTCCAGGTATGCAGATTCTCTCTACATATATTATGTGTTTTACTCATTCGGCACACGTAAGATATGATCCTTGTACGTGCATGTCGGATACGTAAAATACTCATCCGAGATTTTATACGTCGACCTCGTCTCCTGCATTTTTGTGCGCACAATTGTATTCGAAGCTTGAATGAAAGCGAGCAAAAGAGACAAGAAAGAATTGCGATCGATGGAGACGAAATGAAATTGAAATAAAATAGAATATGCTACGAAATATTATATTTCATTTTAAAATATTTTATTCGAAAAATAAGATATAGGATAAAAATGGATAATTCAATCATTTATATTTTGATAAATTAAAATTTGTGAAATATCATGAGATCGTAAACAATAATAAAAGCATAATGATAAATATGAACATTGCCAGTTTGAATAAATTTATCATTTTTTTATTATTTACTATTTACTAATTATTTACTATTCATAGTGGATAGTAATTATATTTTTACAAAAAATATAAAAGCATAATGGAATTAAAATAAAAATATTAATAGAGATCATATTTTCAATAATTTATGGTTGAGATAATTTTGATAAATGGATGGCGAAAGAACAAATATGTAAAATTGCTCTGATTATTTTGTGTAAATCCGAAAATTTACATAAGTGATATAAACATGATTATTTCACAACAACATTTATTTTGGAAAAACTATAACAATATTTTAAGAATCATAAATTAAAACAAACAAAGGAAATTGCAGGCTACGCGAAAGAAGAAACGACAAAAGAAAAGAAGATGATACGATAAAGAATGAGAATGAACAAAGATGGAGTAAGAAGAAAGGAAAAAAATGAAAACTGTTCAACGAAGCAATAACTGATGAGAAATAACAAACAGAAAATAAATATTCGGCTACTGGTGGAAAATATAAAAAAAGGCGACGAAAATTCGAAAAATGATTTTATAATAAAAATATATATTTTTAACAAAATGTAAACAAAACGTAAGTAAACTCTTACTTTCTTTTAGATTCATTATAATTCACATAGAAAGCATGGTTTTTATTTTTTAAGCAAATATTATTTAAAAAAATCATTCTTTTAAAATTTAAATTTTTGCCGCCTTTATTGAACTTCTAACCAGTATACGATGATGGAATTGGAGAAGAACGAAAAACGATGAAACGAGGCGCAAGGTCGTTTGGTAAACAAAGAGGAAGGGATTGCGAACAGAGGGTACACGCAACGAGGCCGGAGAGAAGAAATGCGAAAGGGAAAGGGGAAAAGAAAAAGACAGAGCGAGAGAAGGAAAGGATGAAACCGCTTGGCGCTCATATACGTTTAACGATGCGGCGTGCAGCGGTGACCGACTCGTTCGCGCAGACTCGGCCGTCTTCGTGTTCTCACCGGGTTTCCGCAAAGGGAAATAAAGAAAGGAAGGCGACCAAGCGCGCGCGGGTCTCGCGCAAAAATCATTAAAACGCGTGCTCGATTCGCGGCTGCGGCGTCGTTGTCGGCTCGTAGTCGACGATTTATTAGCGGGTACACAAGCGGGTACCCACCCGCCGGCTTGTCACCCGGCTCCTCGCTCGTTTACCTCCACCCGCCTTTAACTTTCTTCATCATCCGTCCGTAATCTCGAAAGATTCTGGCCCACGAGGCACACGATTTCTTGGAGAAAACGATCATTTTCGTCAGCCCAGTGTGTCCGCGCCGGCTTAACATCGTACCACTCATACGTTTTCCATGTCTAGCGACGACGCGTGGAACGAACCAGAAACGAACGACACGCGACTTGGCATGGAGTGGACTCGCGACAAGACTCTCGAGTTATTGCGCGAGTATCAACAAAGACGCGTCCTTTGGGATTGGAACACTCGTGGTTATCGCGATCGAGCCAAACGGAAACGCGCGATTCAAGAACTCGCCGAGATTCTTTGTTGCAACACGCTCGAAATCGAGAAAAAGATCACTAATCTAAAGTGTCAGTATTCGAGAGAAGTTCATAAGATACAGAATAGCCGCGATGCCGCTACCGGGCCCGACGATGTTTACGTATCTAAGTGGTTCGCCTTTAAGGCAATGCAGTTTCTGCAATTTGGTACACGTAGATACAGTAAGAGGAAGAAGGTAGGTAATCAACTATAGATCCTTCTTTTTTTCATTATGAATATAAATATACACGTTTCCTCGTTGCACGAGAAACCTAGTTGTGACAGATATCTTGTTCCCACGTGTCGCAGGTTCTTAATAGAATGAATATGTATTAAGAACAAAATTGTTAATTATTTCATTGTTCATTCTTTTAATTCATTCTTCTTAAAAAGACATAACAAAATTTTATCGTTCTTTTTTCTTTTCTTCTTTTTTTGTTTTTTCTTTCTTTCATTTTAAAATCGATGATGAACAGAACGTTCGTAAAAGTTCCCTTTCTCCAATCGTAAGGAGGCCACTTTACGCCATCGCATAATTGGTCAAGCAATTTCAAAGAAAGACCATTGTGTCCGAATGTGTTTCGTGGAAACGATCGTCTCGCTTGAACGACGCGTTACTCGTTCGAGATACATGTTTCTTCGATTCGTGATCATGTGTCATTCCTTCTATAATAATTTTTCATTTCGAAATTTCTGCATTTCGAATCAATTTTGGAATGTATATAATTCGCATTCTATACTATTCATGACTCGATTTATTATTAATTTATTATTCGATTAATGATATTTCTTTTCTAGCTTGATAACTTCTACGCTTGTTTTCTAACACTCCACGTCCACTTTTGTTTGATTCTCTTCGTCTCATTTCCTTTGCTCCGCTTATTGTCGTTCGCCTTTGTCCTCCTCTGCTTTCTCTATCTCTCGTCACATTCTCTTGGTATTCTTCTAGAGACTGATTGAATTATATATATGATAGCTTAGGTGTGCCTACTATCATGATACTTTTTTTTCCAAAATGTTTTTAGTATCTTTGCATACGAAAATAAAATAAAACAAGGCTAAAATATATGATGAATCTTACCTAAATAAATATTAAATTTTATGTTTGACAATTTTATTTTTAACGTGGAAATTATATTTTTTAAATGATACATATTAAAGATTAATACATGTATTTTTTTTTAATTAAATATGTTAGATAGTACAGACATTGTTTTTCCAGATTCCTAAATATATTCCCGTGAAAGTTTTTAATACAGAGTTTCCTCGAAAGATCGAAATGTTAGATTAACGTTGAATCGTGTGAATGTGAACGTAGTAAATATATATAGTGAATCGGCGATTAATTTTGCTGTGTTGTTATAATAATTAGGAATGCGAAGTTTTCTCTAGATTCTCGTAAAATTTTTTTCATAGGTAAATTATATATGTGAAATTCGCGAAGAAAATGAATGTGGATATCTAAAATATTATATTGCAACTAATGATAAATAATAACTAAAAAGTAATAAATAAATCATTTTTAACGAAACTTGGAAAAACTGAATGCATAAATTTTACGTAATAAATTGTAAATCTGTTATTTTTTTGTTATTTTTAGAAAATTTAAAATATTTATTTATAGGATTGAAAGATACATTTATTTAAATGACTAAAATTCTTTTTTGTAAATAATATATACCATTAACCTTCTATATATCTACAATTTTACTCAATTCTTATATTTCAAAATATATTTAAAAAAAATTATTATGAAAAAAATACATTATATTATAATTATGCACATATGTAAATAATAATAAGGAATATTACAATACAATTTTAACAACTTATCCGAAACATAAATTTGCTTTACAAGCAAAAATTTGGAATTAAATTAAACATTGATATTTTTCGAATTTATTCCTCGCTATTAAAAAAATATAGGAATCGGTTGAAAATTTTACTTGTTCTACAATAAAATTTGATCGATAAATTATAGATAATTAAGAAAATCGGTGAATTTTCAAAATTCTTTTTCTTCTAATTTCCAAATAAACAAAATTCTATATTTTCTCTATACCAATGATTCCCAACCTATAATTAAAAACAGTTCTTTAAGAGGTCGCTTGCTATCCTTATCTTGGACGAATCTCTAGTTACAAAAAATTTACGAAACCGCAATTCAACGAAAGATTAGAAAATACCGTTCTGCTGCGCATTTTCGGTTACTCGTGCACGAATATTGAATCAAGTTTTCAAGTTTTACCGAAACTACACGAACTATAATACTAGAATATAGATAATATTCTATATACTTGTATTATTTTTAACAAACACGGAAAATACATATTCTTTTTCCCCGTAGAAAGTCGATGAAGAGACGCCGAAGTTACAAGAAGAATACATAGTGAGTGACATCGATCCCGAGAGTATAACGTTCACGGATTATAACGAGGAGACGAACGGATCTGGAACTGGTTCGTTCAACGCTTCGCTGAGCGAGGATGCCGAAGAATCGTCGTCGTCGAGCCTGAAGGCGATGGAACTGTACAACGGCTCGTTGCAGAATCAAAACAGCCCGATCTGCGATCTGGACGAGAGCGGGCAGATAAAACTCGAGGCCACGTCGGACGAGCGCAAGAGAACGAAAGAGGAGTTCGCGAAGTTTGCGGAGAGTATCGCTGTACAATTGGCCGAGATCCCGGATTCGTATTCGAGATCGGTGGCAAAGTTGAGGATCAATCAGATCCTATTCGAGGCCGAGATAGGGGTTTACGCGCAAACGAGTCATTAACAAGTGCACGAGTACATAGTTTGTTTCGACGCCGTTTTTTTTTTTTTTTTTTTTTTTTTTTTAAAGAGGAGATGGTCGTTTTCGAAAACGATGAAACGAAATTTCAACGAAAAAGATTAATTGTGCAGCGCACGCGTTGTTTTTTTCATGTAAAAAATTAAAGCGAGAAATGAATGAGGCGACGTGTTCGTATACGTATGGACTTGACACGAGAATGCGCAACGATGGATTAAGATTAACGCTATCAATTAATTTTAAAGTCGAAGAAGCAAGATGGGTTGGAGAGATTTGAAACGAGAGATGCTTTTGAACGAATGGGTATATTTAATGCAATCGTTACAAAAGTAGAAGTGCATTTTAAAATGGGATTTTATCGTTGCGTAGTATCGTGGATCGAGGTCTAAATATACGATCACTTTAATTTCGATTTTTACGTAGGATTAGTATGTTATTTTTAATTTGAAATTTATCGGAAAAATTACGAAGAATATTTAGCGTTTCTGGCTTGTCTATTTTATAGATCAATTTTGATGTGTGTTCATCGGTTAAATTTTATGTGAAGCATAAAATCGATGATCGAGAATGATAATGAAAGTTATATATTTGAGATTTTAACTGAAACGTGTTAAACATATTGAAATCGAAGCTTGTACGAAACTTTTCAGATATATACGATTATATAATGAAGCATGAAAGTTATAATTATATTATATCGTACGATGCAATTTACCAGTTAAATTCATAATAAATTTAAATAGTTGAAAATGAATAGTTAGCGAGAAAATCATTTAGTATATCGCTTATTATAAAGAAAAGTTTGCGAGAAAGTAAAGAATATTTAGAAAAATCGTTTATATTTAATATTATATTTGTTTGACAATCGATTAGTTTTTTCCTGGGAATTAATTATTCAAGGCCCCAGGAATAAACTTGAGCATTTCTGCGATTTATATATTATTAACGCGTTAAAAGTGATAGAATATGAAATGAAAAAAAAAAAAAAATATCGAAAACAATTTTTTTAAAGAATGGCATTTTATTTTATAAAAATTATATTATTTTATAAAAACAAAATTATCATACTTTAAGAAATTTTATAAAAACATGAAAAAATCATTGATATTTTATAATTCAAAGCCAGAAGCGCGCTTTATTATAAAGCGAATAATTTAAGTGTTGAAAAATAATATGAATTTTTCCTTTTGTTGAAATTGAAATATTTTTTAAATGTTTTTTTAAAGAACTTTAATCCTTTGTACTCGAGGAATTAATAATTCGAAGTGTATTTAATATAAAGGATCAAAAGATTTGCTATAATTTTAATTTTATAAATTCAGAAAAAATTCACGTTGTACGAAGACTAGAGATTCTTTTTCGAATTATAATGAAAGAATGCAAATGATTTTTTGAAAATTCATAAACGTGCAATCTTAAAAAATATCAATTTGCAATAACAAATTACATTTTCTTCTTTGAGTACAAAAGATTAATAGCGTTATTGTTTTAGAATTCGATTCATAAGAAAGACTGTATTTTAAACGATGCTATTTTTCCTGATTTTATTTGTTTGTTTGTCATGATAATGCCAATCGAATATTTTTTAAATGATCTTTGGTCGATCGTTATACAATCGTAAAACGAAATGTTACTCATATTCGATAAAAATAGCGGATATGTGATTTTAGATGAGAAAATAAGTCAAAAGTCCACGTCACTTAAGTCAGGTTGAATAGAATAACAAAGCTCATTGTAATACATTAAATATGTATATTATATACATATTTAAAATGTTTGAATTTTATAGGATTTTTAAAATTAGTCGTCGAAGTTTATTCGTTAAAATGGATAGGTAATTGCTAATTATAAATATCGATTTTGTTGTTGCAGAAATATTTTAATGAGGAAATACTAATTAATACATATTTGTGAAACGAATCGTATTTTAAATCTCATTTACATTTAAACGAAGTCAACCCATTTAACAGCACTATTCGTCATTTATAAAACCTGACTTACAGACGATTTAGATTGTAAGTATATATTCCATTGGTATTGTTTCAGGGCTTTAAAGTAAACGTAGTAAAGTGTATAGATAGAAAACTATTTTTTATTGAAAATACAATCCCTCCTTAAAGTCGAAGATAAGTCATCTTAAATTACTTGATTAATTCTTGTTTAAGTATGTAATAAGTTATGTTTGTATTTTATATCATATCAATTATGTTTTTCGTTAATAGTTAAATATAAAGAAAAACTAGATAGTAATAATTGTACACAAAGTCCATCAGTCTCCGGTGTATGTCTTTATATAATGCATTTGTTATTGTTCCTGATTTTGCGATAGTTTTTATATTTTTGTATTAATTATGATTCTTTTTAGAATCTTTACTTATGATCGTTAAATTTTAGGATACATACAAATTGATTGGTTTTTTATGAAATATATAAGTTTCTTTTTATTCCTATTAAATGAGATTCATTTTAAAATCATTATCAAAGATGTATTATTTCTTTAGAATGAACCTCTTCTTCATTCTCTAGTAATTTTTTCATCATATCTTGCTGATTAATTTATTCATCTTTCGATATTAAAAATTTTAACAATTTCGTTAGTTAAATCAATTCTTAAATTAATCCCTTTGGATCATAATTTGAATAAACATCTCGTATAAACGTAATAATATAACATTATTTTAAAAAATTAAAATTGACAAAATCACAGTATAATTGTTATAATAATCAACGATTTATAGGCACAGAAATACTGTAATAATAAAATTAGTGAAATCAAAATGAATAAAATTACTTAAAAATTTTACTTATGTAAAATTATTTTCAATATGCAATAGTAGATAGTCCGAATAGATATTAGTAATTATTAGAATTTAATATTTTTCAATAGTCATGTACACATTTTCTCGTATTTCAATTTTTTAACTTTAATAATGCTCAATGATAAATTTAGAAGAAATGTCTTTCTGTATAAAAGGAAGAAGGAACTAGAAAGTAGTATAAGTTGCATAGATCTATTTATAAGTTAAACTGCGGTCGCTGTCTTGGTGTCATGTAATTTTTCTTCCGATAAATAGTGATTTTTAGTATTAATATTAGCGTATTAAATAAAATGTAAAAATTTATTGTAAAAAACGTAACGTTAATATTATCTATGATCCAACAAAAGGAAAATCAAAGTAATTAAAAATTTAATATTGTTATGTAGGAATATAAGATATACGGATATGATTTTATTTCAACGATTCATGTTTTGTATATGCATTTTATTCGAAATGAAAGCAATAAAATTGATAAATTAAATTTTTAAATAAAAATAATTTTAAATTAAAAACTAAGACGTATAAATATATAATTACAATGATACTTTATCTATAACAAACATTACAAAAATTTACATAAAATTACATATATATCAATGAAATATAGTCAATTTTCTTTCTTATCGTATTATGTCTTTGTGATCTTTGTACTCGTTTATACATATATTCTTTTGTAACGTTACATAATATATATATATATATTTAATTTTGTATACTTTTGTTCAATAAAATAACTAGGATAAGTGTTTTTAAAAATACAATCTCTCTCTCTCTCTCTCTCTCTCTCTCTCTCTCTCTCTCTCTCTCTCTC